GTTTGAGTCCTGGATCCGGTGGCTTAAACTCACGCCGGGCACATGTGTGTGTGTGCCCAAGATCCCGAGAGGAGAATGGAGGAGAAGGGATTGTGGCATGGCCATCCCCCCTGGGGGGGTGATTTCTCACTTTCTGTCTCTGTCTTTCTGGCGAGTGCACACACCTCACAGCAAAAGAAAAAAAAAACCCTCTCCAAAAAGAAAAAGAAAAAAGAAAAACAATACATTGTCAACAATACATTGTTGCTAACCATAGTCAGCACACTGTAGGGCAGATCTCTTGAACTTATTCCTCCTATCTAAGATAAAAATTTTCTATCTTTTGACCAGCATCACCCCAGAATTCTCACTCCCCCATCCTCTGGTAACCACCACTCCACTCCCAGCTTCTATACGTTCTACTTTCCCAGATTCCATGTATAAATGAAATCTGAAATCATGCAGTATCACCTCTCTGAGCCTGGATTGTTTCACTTCATATGACCTCCAAGGGTAAGGTAACTGAGGCACCTAGGGGTAAAATTTAAAGAGGAACCCATTCTCAGGGTTGTGCAAATGCCTAGCTTGCTCCACCCTAGTCCTGATGCTGATCCACACAGATGAAGGAGACAAGCAAGCTGAAGTGGTCAGTTAGCACTGAGGTTCAAGTCCCTTCCTGGCAAAGCATTGCTTCACTCAGGGACTTGACCCTGCCTAGAGTCTATTTGTATCTCAAGAAGGGCTGTAAAAAACCATATTGTACCCCACAAAAATGTACAATGATTAAATGTAAATCAGAAATTTTAAAATAAAAAAGGGCTATGAAATAAACCTCAAAGTAAATGACTATAAAGTGCCTTTAAAAATACATGAGAGCCATCTCTATCTTGAGTTCCTTTATCTAGGGGCTCAGACAGTGTCCCCAGGCCCACTTTCTTCCTTTCCCACTTTAGCTTGACTCCTTTCAGTTGTTTGTGTCCTCATAGTGGCAAGATGGCTGCTATAGCTCCAGCCTCCCTTCCCTCCAGGTCTCTCTCAGTAAGCCGTGTAAAACTCCCATAGCATTTATTGACTCAGTTTAGATCACATGTCATCCTTGAACCAATCACTGTGACCAGAGAAGTGTAGTGCTCTGATTGGTCAGGTCTGAGTCACACATCCATTTTGGAACCAGGGTCTGAAGGAACACTACCCAAACTGAAGGACTCTGGACAGGCAAGTGTGGGAGGGAGAAATCAGAGAACCATGATCAAAAAGGACTGGGAGGAAACAGAGCAGATAGAATATGGCAGCAGATATCCAGTGCAGTACCAAGAGCCAAGAAAGACCAAAGCCCACCAGACATATACCCTCTGCTTCTGAACCTGTCAGTCATTGTCTATGCCCCACCTACCTGAATACGCCAGCAGTTTAAATTTAAATACCAGTAGTTCAGTCTAATCAAATAAAATTGACTATAGCTCATTTAGACCTGGAAGTGAAATTTCAAATTGCTGTTTAATTTAGACTTAATTGTCATGATTTTCAGTGGCCTTGTAGGTATTAATTGTTAAAGACACTTAATGAAACTTAATCAGTCCATCAAAACAAACCACAGGCCTAGAACAATTTGTTGACATTATGGTCAGACACTTCTGGGCACCTGCCCACGCAAGGCACAGATAGAATGGGGAAGAGGAGGTGGTTCAGGGCTTGTTCTTCCCTCCGGAAAACTCCCATGGGTGATTTTTCACGATCTCCCCACTTTACCTGTCTTCAAGATTCTTAGACTTGGAAAGAATCTTGCCACTTTTCTGTGTCTCTGGCCTTTGGGCTGGGCCCCTGATCCCACCTCCTCTTTCTCAGGCTCAGAGAAGTTTCCAGGGCTCCCACGAGTGTGTTAGGATTCTCATCACGTCTACTCAGAGGCCAGGTCGGGTGAGGATGTGACTCTGGACACACTGGGTTGGCCTGGCCAGGGTAGCTCTCAGGGCTCCTGACCTGTATACATCTTTCAATGTCGTGTGATCAAATTGCCCTCTTCCCCAGCCACCCCACTCTGCTCTGTGCTGTCACCAAAGTGTTGCAGTGATGAGTGCTGGGATCCCACAGCCTCTGCCCGGAAATAGCTAGGTGACTTTGGACAAGCGATTTAACCGTGGTAAACAGTGTGCCACGAGTAGTGCAGGTGTACAAGCAGCAGCCGCAGGGATCTCTGAAAATTGAATGGGCTGCAGTAGGTAAGTTCCTGTGCCACACTGGCCCAGAGCCCATAGTCCATGATGACTATTATTATTGTTGTTATTAGATCGGCGACATTTATTATTTTAGTCATAACGATGGACGGGAACCTTGCCAAGCTCTGCGCGTGTGAAGACAAACACACTGTCTTTGCCTGTGGGGAGACAAGGAATAGACAATTACAATTCAGTGTGATGTTAGCTTTTATATCCATCTTTCTTCAAATGGGATTAAGGCAGGCCATTTTACTTTGATATACTTTCGGGTGATCAAGAATGTGGACAGTGACGTACCAAGGCTCTCCCAGAACACTAAAAGGACCTCTGTCTCTTGGTGGAGAGAAGTCATGGTGGGCTTCTTGGGAGAGGTGTGAACGAATGTGTATTCTGTCATGAGAAGCTGCCTCGGCTCTGTTCCCCATGGGGTCCATGGCCATTGCTCTTGAGTTTGAGCCTGCTTGAATTAGAGGTTGTGTAAAATTGTCGTGGGCTCAGGTTTGTGGTGCACCCCCAAGCTGTGATGTCTTCTGGAGGAGCACACAGTGGCTCCTACTGACTTTGCAGTCCCCTGACAGTGGCACTCTGCTGCCCAGAGAGTCCCTGGGGAGCAGGGCTCTGACTTGTGCCCCCACAGAGGTATGGGCCCTGCACCTGTGGTTTCAGGGGAAGGAGGAGGCACTCCTTGTGTGAAGGAAGAGAGAGGCCGTGCCCTTGGAGTCAGGGAACAAACAAGTCAGGGGGCTGGGTTGCACTCCTGGGACCCTGACCACCCCGGGCCAGGTATAGTGAAGGTAGGGAGGCCACCTGAGGCCATTGCCAGGAGCAACACCACCCTTGGCTCTTTCTCTCCAGGTTTCTGAGGAAGGTAGGCCTGGGACTGAATCTTGGCTAGTCCTGGGCATGTTTTAAACCTTTCTGAGTCCTGGTTTACTCTTTCTACAGGGAGAGTCATGCCTATTTCTTAGGGTCCTTGCGAGATAAGTGAGGAGAAATGTCTCTCTCAGGTCCAGCATCTAAGGAACGATGCTCCCTCCTGCTCCACCTCCTAGTGGACTGTTTCTCTCAAGCCCTTTGACCAGCTTCCATTAGCCCCTCTGTCTCCCAGGGCCTCCCATGAAAAGGCTGCTCCTGCTCTACTGACCAAAAGGGTTTTAATAAATAAATAGCCCCAAATAAAATGAACAGCTGGGTTTCTAAGCACATATCGCTGCTATCAGCTCAAGGTTTCCCTGGCACCACTGAGCTGTCTTTAGGACCTGAGTCAGGCTCTAGCTTCTCCAGCTAGTCAGTGCTCATCCCTCCTACCTTCTTACTGGAGGGCCACAAAGCCACAAGTGAGGTCCACTTGTGCCTGTCCTCTTTTGGAGCCAGGGCTCCGAGGAGGATGCACTCATTGGCTTTTCTTCTTAGAATTCATAATAGATTTGCTTTGTGTTCTGCTGGTGGCAAACACCCATTATCAGGAGTGTTGGTTGGTGCTCAGTGGAAGGTTCCACGGATGAGGAGGTGACACCTGGTGGTGGCAGCAACAAAAGCAGCAGTGAGGACCTACCCTGGGGCTCCTTTATCTTCCAGTGACCTGGCTGCCCTGTACCTTCGTTCTAACAATGTGCAAGGTTCTTGAAGCTCTCTGCCACTCTCAGATCGCTGCAGTATGAAGGTGATCCTTTGACTCTTCTTGTCATGTTCCTTGAGCTGTCGTTCAGACTCCTGGGAGCTACTGGTCAGTCTCTGGGTGAAGTGGGGAGCAGGTGCAGAGTTCATATTAACTATTGCAGAATTATTTCCTGGCAAGAAAGCTTGGGACAGAGAGTGCCACGAGGGTAATTTCAGTTGGTTAATTGGGCAGTTGAAAACACAAGCTTCAAAGGCTGGCAGCTCTGCCCTCTCTGGGAATGAGGGTGACTTAAGAGATGGATGTATCCCCATAGTGATGGTGGGTCCTTCTGGGAGTTGCATGTCAGGACAAAGAGGGCAGGACTCCAGTCACCATAGCAACCATGCAGAACGTTCTCCTCTCTGGGCCTCTCCCCATCAGAGAAAAGGCTATGAGACTAGGCAACTCCTAGGAGCCTGTTCACTTTTATATTTCTTTTTTTTTTTTTTTTGGAGACGTTTTACTATAGGGCGAGCCCCTGCTAACTATTGCAGAATTATTTCCTGGCAAGAAAGCTTGGGACAGAGAGTGCCACGAGGGTAATTTCAGTTGGTTAATTGGGCAGTTGAAAACACAAGCTTCAAAGGCTGGCAGCTCTGCCCTCTCTGGGAATGAGGGTGACTTAAGAGATGGATGTATCCCCATAGTGATGGTGGGTCCTTCTGGGAGTTGCATGTCAGGACAAAGAGGGCAGGACTCCAGTCACCATAGCAACCATGCAGAACGTTCTCCTCTCTGGGCCTCTCCCCATCAGAGAAAAGGCTATGAGACTAGGCAACTCCTAGGAGCCTGTTCACTTTTATATTTCTTTTTTTTTTTTTTTTGGAGAGGTTTTACTATAGGGCGCGTACACTTGCCAGACAGACAGAGAGACAGAGAGACAGAAAGCGAGGAATCACCCCCCAGGGGGGATGGCCATGCTGCAATCCCTTCTCCTCCGTTCTCCTCTCGGGATCTTGGACATGCACGCACACGCACCCGGCATGAGTTTTAAGCCACCGGGTCCGGGACACGAACTGTGGTCGACTACGTGGGAGTCCAGCGACATAGCCATTACGCTAACTGCTGGTCCAACTTTTATATTTCTTGATCACCCCTTACCCTCTTCATGCTTTTAACTATCTTCAAAAACATGGTTTACACAGAGACCACTTGGCTTTGGTTTGGAGGAAGTCCACACTGGATTCGAGGTAAGGATACACATCCATTTTGGAGAGAAAGCTGCCTGTAGAATCTCTTATGTTGAAAGACAAGGTGCTGGGTCCTCATGGGGCTGCTCTCCCTGCCATTTCCAGCTGTAGTCCTGTTTCTAGATGAGGCTTCTGATCAGGGCAGCCAGGGACAGCACTGGGAGCCATCCATCATGGCTTCAGGAGGCAGAAGGGAACGGGGCTGGGGCTGCCCGGGTAGATCATGTAACCTGTGGAAGTCACATTATCAGGTCAAAGGGAATTTGCAGATTTGATCTTGTGATGGGACATTATCCTGGATTACTCAGGTGGGTAGCTAGAGGTTCTCTTGATGTGGTCTTTAGGGACAGGCTCCCACCTGATATGACTTTCGGCAACATTTGTCAAAAAAAGAGAACTAAAGTAAATCCAGAGGCCCCATCGCATATTCTCATTGAACGACAGCCTGCTCCCTGGCCTATTTGGAATTCAGGGAATGGTATCCCAGCTGCTTCTTGGTGTTGCTTTTCTGTGGGATCCGGTTTTAGAAACAGCATTCTCCTTTTGGCTGACCTTTCTGCTTTGAAATTGCCTATCACAGAACATGTTACGCCCGCAGGTTAGGACATTGCTTCATTTCATTCTTTTGCTGGGGAAACAAAACAAAACAAAACAAACCTCCTCAACAGCAGAACCCACAACCCTAGAAACTCAGCTATGCCACATGCTGCTGTGCTCATGAGATATTCATTCTGCTCTTCTCAGTGAAAAAGCGAAGAGAGGTTTATTCTCCACTTTCCAGTGCGGACCGCTGCTCTCTCCAAGGAAGTCTCTTCTTTGCTTGGGAAAAGAAAGCTCAAAGATGAGAGGCCCCTGAGGGAGCCCTGCTCAGGCAGCACCAGGGAGGGGCAGATGGGGTGCTGAACAGACCCAGGAACACACTTCTCTGAAGAGACCGTTCATGCCTCTTCGAGTATGCATCCCCTGCTGCTATTTTATGAGAAGGATGTTTACCCCCCAAGGGTTTTGCAACAGCAGCCTGGTCTCACTTGGAGGTTTCAGATTTGTGTACAGAGCATGAGCCAATAGGACTCAGGCAGGTCGAGGATGTTATGGCCCTGTGGTCACCTCCAGAGCTGCAGAGCCATTTGTCCCCAAGGGACAGCTCCAGCTTGGTTGGATCAGGCCTGGAAAGGAAGGGCGGAGCCTCCTGGGGTCTCTGAATGGTTGTGATGGTTGTGAGCTGCTCAGGGGCATCTGGTCTAGCAGGTGGATGAGTGCTGAAATCTAGCCTGCATCTGCTAGCCCAGCCTTGTGCCTGGCTCAGGTGGTGTCTACCTTGAGGAAGGGGTATGTTTTTCTTTGCACAAAAGCTTCTGCATAGGCCAGCAGTGGCTCTAGGACCTCCTTAGGGTGATTTAAGAGGAAAGCATATTAATGTGGCATTTTCTGTATTCTGACGCTTTGCTATCTTAAGGGCTTTGTTGACCCTGGAGGAACTGCCCTTTCTAGGACTAGCCAATTCTGAGAGATAAGCAAACAGCTTTGGAAAGAGCTTTTGAAATGCAGACCAACCAGTCCAGAGCCCTACTTCCAAGCACCTCCTTTAGTGGGCTCTGACACTTCAGGCCACCATTCACTTGCCCTGATCACCTCAGGACCAGGTATAGCCAATAAGGGGCCCCTTTGTCCCAGAGGCTGCTGAAATCACTCAAACTAGCCAACCCTAACCCTGTTCCCTCTGCCTTGCCCATTCATACCTGTGGAAACCATGATAAAGGCTCTTGACCACTTTTCCTTCATTTTGCCTCCTGACCAACCCTGGTGCTACACAGTGTGGCCCTGCTTCTAGAGAACTGTTAATGCAAAACACTTCTTCGTTTATGGCAAACATTTCCCCATCTGTATGTCTTATCATACCTGATTAAAATGATTAAACTATGTTGCCAGTGAGGCTGCCTGGGAAGGAACACCCCAGAGATCACCTTCTTTAAGCCCATTGCCAGTCAAGCCCCACCATTCCAGGCTAAGTCCAAGGGCAGGTATGGCAGGATAGTCCTATGGATAAGAGTTAATTCTGAGCAGAAGTTTCCCATGGTAGTCTGGGGGGTTGTGTACATCTAGAGAAGTGTGGGGGAATCGATAAGTGAGAGGAGAGAGCAAGGCCTCCTGGGATTCTCAGGAGTCAGACAGACCTGGACTTTAATGCTGCTCGTGCACTCAGCAAGTGGGTGATCTCTGTCTAGCTGACCTTGATTTCCTAGCTATATGTCTGGGGGGAAATCTCTGTAGACTGATGGGGAGTAATCTGTGAAAGAACAAGACATGCTGGACTTTGTGGGTGGCTGAATAAGGAACCCCTAAGATGTCTATATCCTGATCTCCAAAACCTATGATGGGGATGATCCTGAATTATTCAAGTTAAACCAATATTGTCATGAAGATCCATAAAAGAGAAATGAATGGGGTCAGCTTGTGGCCTAGTGGTTAAGGAGTGGATCCTACATGACTGGCTAAGCATTTTGAATCCTGAACCTAGTAACTTGAAAGACATACCAGATGCATGTGCATATGTGCACAAAATTTCAAAAGGAAAGAGAGATGGAGAAGGGATTGCAGCATGACTATTCTCAATGCTTTCTCTTTTTCTCCTTTTCTTT